CATTCTCTGACCAGTCATACAGAAATGTTTCTGAGAAGGAGAAAAGAGTGGGTGTTCTGATTGAGGCTTCCCAAGAACATGAAACAAACTCCTTGTCCCGACAAAAACCCCTTTTATTAATTTACTGTGAATTCTGCTCATTCACATCCAGCAAAGTCTTTCAAGGGAGGATTTACAATCACAGACCTTATTTGGTGTACAGAGCTGCCAGGCCGATATCTGCATAACTTGGCAAGGACTACCTATGGCCTTACTTCCAAGTTAACCACTGTTCTTTCGTTATTCCCTTCATCTGGCAACTCTGTGTATGCAGACACCGGGAACAAGCTCTATCTGTTTGTCTGCCTCATTGATGTCTGACTCTGAAGACAGCTGATAACTGACATATGGCTCTGGCGCCCTCTCTGCCTCTTACATAGAGCCTTCCCCAGACTCCAGGACTGGCCCATGTTCCTCCCCAACCTCCCCACTGTCCAAATCTACTGCCAGCTCTGCTGGCTGCTGGTGGACCAAAACAGATGAAACTCTATCATAGCAATACCTGGCACCCACTTTCTAGTCCTCAAGCATTCAGATAAATTCCTTTTTCTAACATGTTTTTTAAAACAATTGGACATTTTAAGAAAGGAGAATCATACACACATATACATATACGTGCATACACACACAAAAGAAAAAAAAGAAAAAAGGAGTAAATTGGGCAACCAACAAAGAACCTACAAGTGTGATAAATTTATGATTTTTTGACCTTTGTAATGAATTAAAAGTACCTGAATATCTTCGGTCCCAAAAATCACTATTAAAATCTATGCAGAATATGAGTATCAAGAGATGCAAGTGATGCAATATGGAGAATATAATGAAATTGTGATGAATTATTTTAAAGGAAAGGGGTTTTTTCCCTTTAAAATATTGATATTTGGAAAAAGAGGGGGGAGGAAAGAAAAGGAAAAAAATAAAATATAACAAAGTTAAAAAAAATCTAAACAGTATTAAAAACAACTTGCATGCCAATTATATTCTTCCCTTCCATCTGTTAATTTCAACGAATGTATTATGACATGCTTCTAACGTCTATTTGATTCTTTTATTTTGAATTTTGCCTAGATGAAAAAGATGGATTCTTTCTCTCTACTATCTATTATCCTTGTATCCTTGTCTGTATTCTCATTTTCTTTCCAGTCTTTGAGTAATGCACTTGTAGAACATTATAGAACAGCATTCATAATTAAACAACAGGTATTTGTAGAAATATCAAGAATCCAGATAAACTCTGAATTCTGGAGGGCAAAAGATATTGCCTATGACAGTGATGGCTAACCCTTTCCAGACCGAGTGTCCAAAGCACATGTGTGTGTGCGTGAATGCACCTGCGCCTAAACACCCAAAATGCAATGCGAGCACAGGTCCATTCATGCGCCCTGCCCCCATGCAGGCCCCCGCATGTCTCTCCCATGCATGCATATGCGGGGCACCTCATATGCACCTCAGAACCCCTTGTATGCGCACACAGGTCCCCCGCATGGGCCCGCCCCTATGCATGCACAGCAGAGACCCCAAAGCCAGCTGGCTGGCTGGCTGGCAGGATGCACATGCGCAACAGAGCTGAACTGGGGCGACAACTTGCTTGCCCACAGAGAGGATGCTGTGTGCCACGTTTCACTGACAAATGCGCGCTTGACAAAAGCGTGCCCAACAAAACCGCAGCGAGAAAACCGCGAGTTCTAAATCGCACTGACGAATGAGCGCAGAAGTGCGCCGACAACAGCGCACCGACAAAAGTGTGCCTTCAACAAACAAGTAATAACCGCAAGTTCTAAACCTAACCCTAAACCTAACCCTAAACCTAACCCTAACCCTAACCCTAAACCTAACCCTAACCCTAACCCTAACCCTAANTTCTTTTCACATCCAGAGAAATATTCTGCCTTTTCAATATTTCCTAGGATATTTCATTTTTTTGGGAGAGGGCTGGATGATAACTTCCCACAGTATTAAACATTCTTTAAAGTTTTCCAGATGCTTACTTTGCAATGAGCAACAATTACCCTGTATTTACAACTGAAGAACTATGCTGAAGCAATAAAAGGTGTATTCAATAATAAATGAATGTGTGAAAAAAATGTGGGTATGAAAATACACACCACTTATATTTTTAAAACTATCCAATTGTAGCCACTTCAAAATGTATACAAGGGTTTAAACCTAGTACTCCCAAAATGGTTTCTCATCTGAACTCTTGGTTAGTGAGGGTAAACAGAATGTTTTTATAATTGTTGAAAATGCAGTACTTAAATGTTTAAAAGAAACACACATTTGACTAATACAAGAAGATCTCATACAGTACTTAGTAGAGGTGGATACATATGGACCAGCAGTGAGAGATAAATGTTTTGATAAAGCTTGATTTCTCTTTCCATCTGTGGCACTAACATAACCATATTTTAAAAAAGTACTGTGTGATATTTCTCATGTTATCACTCTTATTATGTGTACTAGAGCCAGGTCTTATACAATCATTAGCAACGAGCTTGCTAATTAGTGTTATAATACAGTGAATATTACAGGATATTTTAATGTTGTTATGGGCTATGTGACATGTTTTGACCAGCAGATCACATATTTCAAGTGGAATAGGAAACTATAATCCTATGTAGAAAAGAATTGGAGACTTTTTAAAAAAAGAATTAATTATCAAAGATCCGTTAAAAAAATGATAATGAATAACTAGGGTCTCTAAGGAACTTTTCCTGCAAATTACAGGTAGTTCTCAACTTAGGAGTACAATTGAGTCCAAAATGTATGTTGTTAAGTGAATTCTGTCCGGAGTGGGGGGGTATCCTTCAAAAATTGCAGCAAACAGGTGTGCTGTCCCGTTGCTGGGTGGGCGTGGCCTAGTCGGCCTCCTACACCATGGTGGCTTTCCTTGAGCCGCTGGAAGGGCGAAAACATGCCNCACACACACACCACAGAGCCCTTGGATAAATTTCCTAGTAAATTTATCCTGATTAATATTACAGTCCTTAAAAATAAATGTCACTCCTTTCAGCAAGATTCACTCCAGAGGAATGGACTAAACCCATGATGGCTAACCTATGGCACGCGTGCCCAAAATGGCACGTGGAGCCATGCCACCTGGCACGCGCACCATCGTCCGTTCCTCTGTTGGGTTTTTCACGTGCATGTGCACAAACGTTCAGCTGGCCTTCGTGAGTGCCGGAAACTGGAAGAGCTGGTCTTCCATTTTCCAGAATCAGCCTGCAGACTGGCCAGCTGACCGTCGTGTGCGCATGCGTGCCAGAAACCCAGAAGTTCATTTCCCAGTGCGCCCATGCCCCCCGGGAAGCTCCTCTTCCGGGTTGCACTGCAGACGAGCGTGCACTTCGCCATCACTGGACTAAACCATTCCCACCACCACCCCAAACTTGGCAAATTGAAGAGCTGTGGACTTCAATTCCCAGCATCTCCTGGCCAGCCATTCCTGGGAGTAGAAGTCCACGGGTTTTAAGAGTTGCCAAGTTTGAAAAGAACTGGTTGAAATAGGGAAAGGCGTCTGCAGGAGTCTTTCTCTCAAACTGAAGCTGGGATTCTCCTTGTAAATAGGAGAAACAAAGTTTGGCTGGTCCAAAGTGGGTGAGAAGGGAGAAGAGAGGGAGGAACGCCCTTCCTCATCCGCTTTTCCTCCAATTCCTTTTTTTCTCCAGCAGCCTTCTGGATGAAACCCTGAATTCACCCCTAAGTCTTCACCCTCTCCTGTCCTTGAAAGGGGTGGGGTGGGGGGGGAAATATCGGAGAAAGTAGCAAATAAGAGAAACCTTCTCTTCTTCCCTTCTCTGCCCCAAACCACGCTCTTCCTATCTCCCAAAAGAGCTTCTCAGAAAAAGATGGCAGCAGGCCTTCCTCCTTTTCATTACTACCCTGAGGATGCAACTGTAGTATTCTATGGAGACTGTTGCAATAGCCATGGGAGTAACCCAGGGAAATGGCTTTTAAAATAATGCTCTTGATCAACTTTTTCTTGGGATTGACGCCAGGTGGCAAGGCTAACTCAGATCTCCTTGAAGACCCAAGCGAAGTCCCAAAAACATGGGTGAGAAAGAGTGATATGGTTTCTACAGCCTCTGTTGTTCGGCTACCTATTACAGCTCATCGTTTTAACTCCAATCAGCTATCTTTTTAATGATCAATTAATGGGAGTTGCCTATCTAATTCCCCCCCCCCATTTCCTGTGATCTATATGGCCTTTATAAAATTGATGCACTATTGGATCGCAACATTCTTCTCTCTATCTCATCCACCGTGTCCACCACTAATTCCATCTGCTTTGCAAAGAGAAGATCCTGGGGTCAATCCGTGGGGGTCTCCAGGTGGATCTGAAAGAGTCCAGCTCTGTGGGGAGGTTGCTGCCAGTCAGCGCTGAGGATCTCCTCCAAACATCTGCGGTGTAACTCAATGGAAATGGCATCCTACGTTCACATAGGTTAATCCAAATCATTTGGTCAAATTAGGTCCCTATCTCATGCAATGCCCCAAATATAAACCATCTTGTGGTGAAGAGGCCATGGTTTCACTTGCAAGACAGTGGCTGGGTTCTCACAAGCAATCTAACTTGTTAGCCTAGATCGAAATTTTGTGACACTGTACAGAACTGTGGAGTTCCTGAGAATAACCCATACGTTGTATTTAAGATGGAAGGGACATTTTCGAAAGGCCTGGAGCAAGCATGCTTGCTTACTTAACTATTATGCCACATTGTTGTCCTTGCTAGCAGTTTTCACAGCCTGTGGCAGCAGAGTATCCATAGCCTGACCAAAGTCAGCAGGGACTTAAGGGCCTCCAAGAGCCTCACATGAACCCTGCTGGGTCCGAGATGCTACCATACAACTTTGGGGTTTATGAGAAGCAGGGCTGCAGAAAGCAGGGTGGTCTGGCCAGAAGCCCCTTGGAAGAAAGGTCTTGCAAAGGGTCAAAAGTTCCTGAGCCCCAGCTGCCAGCTGCCAGCAGCCCCCACCACCCACAGTCAAGGAATTCACAAACCAGGGACAAAATGAGTACCATATCACATCGAAGTATTAGGGAATAGCAGGTGAATGTGAAGAGAAGAAGCAGATGCTTGGAGAAAGGTAGAGGCAAAAAGGAAGGGCAAGGAAGTATTTTTGACTCAGCCTTCTGTCTTTCCGAGGTGGGTAAAATGAGGTCATTGGAGGCAAGATGCTGACTCTGTAAACTGCTTAGAGACAGCTGCAAAAGCACTGTGAAGCAGCATATAAGTCTATTGCTGTTGCTATTTTTGATTTCTGAAGGCTCTACATCCTGTGCCCATCTGGGTACTCTTGACTGATGAACCAAACAAACTGAGCAGATTTCCTATGTTGAGCAGGCAACTTCATCTCTTCAGGTTGCTTTGAAGAAGTTGGGTACCAAGGCAGGACAGCTGGAGAGAAGGCAAGGCTCAGTTCAGAAGAAGACCCAAGAAGTCTTCTGGGTCAAGGTCAGGAGTTGTGCCAACATAGCCATTACAAACATGGCAATGAGCATGGTGGGAGGGGGAGATGATCCCAGAGGCCAGACATGGAGGGTAGGGTGAGGAGGGATAGACCAAGGTGAAGAATTCAAAGCATTTTAATCCTTTGACTCCACCAAATGTCCATGTTTAGTACTGCTCAGCTGCAGAAGTCAAGGGAAGGGAAAACTCAGTTTTCCATTAAGAATCTCTTTTTTTCCTCACCCTCCCAAAACCACCCTTCCCCCCATCCTGGATAATTGTTTAAAAGGGTTTGAGAACTGTGGTGTGTGAAGAAACCTCTGGATGACTTCTGGAGGCTTCTCATCTAGCAAGCTCTGGTTCCAAGGACAGTCATCCAATACCAGCATCAGCTCCAAAAGACATTGAGATGTTGTCCTGTTTTCAACACTTGGTGCTGAGGGATATCCTCCCCGTCTTCCCAGATTCTCCACCCAGTTCACCGTTGTTAAATGGGGAAGGAGCAAATATGGTTGGTTCTCAAAGCTGCTCTCATTCAAGTCCTGGAAGAAGAGACATTTGTGTTGCTAAGAGCAAGTGAAGGAGTCTTCCCTAGGAAATCTGTATCCAGGATGCCTGGCTGGGAACCGGGAAGCCCCAGAAGGCTGCAGTCTTTCAAACCAAGCCTTTACATTGTTGCTGGACCTTCGCAGATTTCTTCTAATCTTTGCTCAATCATTACACGTAGCACCGAATACCTTAAAGGGACCCAAAACAGAAGAGTTATCCATTGACAGCAGCTGAAAGGAAGCGACTGCTGGACTAATCAAGAGAGGAAGGGGATGGGATGAAAATGACTTCCTTCCCTGATTAATATCTATGAAGATGCTCCGTCATCCAGGTCCTGCTTGTCCCAAAGGTGCTTTTTTTCCCTCAAGAGGCAACTGGACTTTCTTGGTTTTTCTTGGAAGACGTTTCTCTCCTCATCCAAGAAGCTTCTTCAGCTCTGAGCTGAGCTGAAGAAGCTTCTTGCATGAGAAGCGAAATGTCTTCCAAGAAAAACCAAGAAAGTCCAGTTGCCTCTTGGGGGGAAAAAAGCACCTTTGGGATTCCTTGATTAACACCACAAGGTTTTTGTGCTTTCTTATTTACTTTTGCGTTCTTCTTTCCTGAAGAAAGGGGACATCCTTCACCTTCTTTGGAAGCAGCTATTAGATCCAGGAGCAAAATCCCTGCCTTTCCTTCCATTTTTGTATCCCAGCTTTCCCTTCCAAATGAAAGTTATGCCTCCTTCAAATTTATCTCCATACAACAACGAAGTAGGCCCAAATCTCTCAATAACCTTTTCTGGCCAAGGACAGTAATCTTCAATCATTGCCCAACTCTCTCCCACTTCTGGTGGCTTCTCTTTACTCCTTTGATCCTACATTCCTACAATGACCATATCCTACCTTATGGGCTCTGCGCTGTGAGCTGTCATGGCAGCTGCTGAACCAAGCTAAGATAACCTTGCTGGTGGAGGGGAGAGGTTACGGAAGGGACCATTAGCTGCTCCTGTTTTGGTAGACTTCAAAACCTAGAAAGTATTCTCCCCATTCTTTGTGAAGAACAGAGAAGAGAGGGTAAAAGAGGAGCAAGAAGATCAGGTGGAAGAAAAAAAAATTGAAAATAAAACACAGACAGATGATTTCACTGGGATTTACAGTCACAAAGAAAAAGCAGACGAAGGGGGAGATCCCCCCAAAAAAGAAACCACAAGTTACTAAGGAAGGGAGGGAGAACAGGGAAAACCCTGGGGAAAGGTACCAGAATAATAAAAATGAATACTCTGAAATGAAAAATGAAAAGATACTGCAACCATAAAAACAGGAAAAAGAAAAAGTTAGGAGAAAGGAGAAGAAAAATGATTAAAAGAAGAATTTGTGACAGCCCAAGAGAATATGGATAAAAGAGGAAGAAGGGGAAAAAGAGGAGTATTAGTAGATAAAAGGAAATAGTTGTATGATTGGTATTGTTATGCAACTAATGAAGAAATAAAGAAAGTATAGTAAATTGTTAATTGTAGAAAAAAATGGAAAGAAATGCTCTCTATGTCAAAACGTAACTAGAGGATATATATTGTTTATAGTAAAACAGACCAATAAAGAAATACGAAATGATAATTTGGTGCAATTTTTGAAAGGGAAATTGAAGCTATTGTTTATGTATTAAGAAAAAATGAGTATTGAGGCAGGAGGCCCCATCACAACGATACGGATGTGCGGTCTCGATGCTCCGAGGCTGCAGCTGATACTTTTGCCGCTGGGTGGTCCAATCGGACCTAAACCATCCCGCAGAGATGGTGAACAGGAAGAATATGTCTTGCTGATCTCAAGGACATCGCAAAGTTCCTGGTCGATCCAAGAGAAATTCTTCAAGCTGGCGACAAAAAATCCAAACCATTGATTGGTTTGTGTCTGGAAATGGAAAGAGTGGAACACTGAAAGAGGAATTAAATGGAGGAGAACTCTATCCCAGATGAAAGATACAGAAGAAGAAGAAAAAATTATGGATTTAAAGAGAAATTTTATTAGCAACATTATTGAGAACACTACTGACAATTAAAGATAAGCTGATTAAGGAAACAAAAGAAGGGCATCGAAATTACATGATACACTTAATAAACAATGAGTTGCTAAGAGGAGTCCATACAAATTTGATTAAGGAGATGATTAGAGGATTGATACCACAAATGGTAGAAGACATGAGACTATTTTGCTACTGGAAAGATACAGGTTTATAGATGGAAGTGTATAATTTAAAACTAGTTAAACTTAGTGAAATTTAGTGACAATAGATATAGTTAAATAAATAATTGATAATGATAATCATGTATACATATGTATTGTTATGATAAATAATAATTGAATATGAATATTGAATGCTACCCATGAAAGGAAGATTAGAGATCTTTTTGGTTATATATAAAGG